AAAGGGAATACCCAGCAAGTATATAAGGCAAGCCAAAGCTCTCTACTAGAAATCACGCAACCGTGCAAGGCAAGAGCCTACAGAGAGTTGTCATGTGAACTGACGATAACAAGTAGTGTCCTCCAGAGATGCCTAGTTTCACTATTCTTATTTAACTTCGTCATAGACGTCCTAATAAGGATTGACTTACTGCCTGGAGGCCATCTGGTTGATTTAGAGTAAGCAGACGATATTATCTGACTAGGTGAAGACGCTGATAAAATGCAGGGCCTTCTGCTGGACACGTTGAGTAGAAATATGAGTGTCTTCAGCATGCGCGTCACTGGCACCTGTCAAATGTAAGATGATGCTCCAAAACCGGCGTGCTACAAGTACTCCCAGTTTAATGATGGGGAACGAAATGGTGTAATGTGTTGAACAGTTCACTTACTTTGGGAGTTGAGTCAACCCGAATGGGTCGGTTGCTGACGAAATCTCAGGTCGGATACAGAAAGCCCGTTTGGTATTTGCCAACCTGCGTTACCCGTGGCAAGATATTCGACTAACTACCAAAGGACAAGTATACTGTGCTACAATCTGTTCTGTCCTGCTATACAGCTGAAAGACATTAACGTTAAAAGTAGAAGACGTGAAGTGGTTACAAGGTTTTGATCATAGATGTCTTCGTAGCACTACTCGCATTCGGTGGAATCACTGTGTGACCAATAGTGAGGTCAGGCGGAGAGTAATAGGCAGGAGAGGTAAGTCAATTGATGTGGTGAACCTTCATCGTCTGAGATGGAGTGGAAATGTGTTGCGCATGCCGAGTCACCACCTACCACGACGTGCCATGCTAGGGGAAGTTGAATTAGGTTAGAAGGTTCAGGGTGACCAGACCAAGAAGCGGGACCAATCGATGGAGCTTCTGACTGTAGACTGCCTGGTGGGAGTCCCTGAGAAGGAAGAAATCAGTGGTTGAGTACTCTTGGTGATATGGCTGGAAATCGGGCAAATGTATGCACTCTTTTACATCTAAACAAAGAATCGTTTGCATTTTTTGAGACACAACACAATGAGTAATAGTAAATTTTCTGATGAAAACTGTATGATTCATAGCTGGTTTGTCTTAGTTTGAACACTGAATCTACACTGATAGCAACAGATGATCCATACACAAATAGCACTACATAAAACACTTTCATAGGTTAACCTCTCTACTTTCTGAAGTATTTAGACTGCAAACTTTACGATGCGATTTTTACGTGTGAAAATCTGTTATTCCTTTAGTGAAAGCATCTCTTGCAATCATGGCACAACACACAACACCATTCTTTAAGCTAAACTGAAATTGCTGATCAAATTACATCTAGTGCCTGAAAGCTAACTGAACAATATAACTCATATTCACCAATTTACTGTACCTCCAATCCAGTTATAAGGGCTATTCGTTTACACGTATGGTAGCTGAGAGTTTTACAGCATACATCATGTAAGGTGTGCTTAACTTGCGTAATCCCTGTATCCTTAAGTATAAACTAGCGAGCAGCAGTTTAACTGGACTCCAGTCACCATTGTGTTGCCCTGCCCGCTATCATGTTGGATCATGAATGGAACGTTGAGATAGGCCCCCAAACACAAGAAGTCGAAAAAGCAGTAGGTAACTTGAAACGAGGAAGGGTAGCAGGATCAGAGGGACTAACTCCTGAGGTATACAAGGATGTTGGTAAAGTGCTCTTAGTCAGGTTAACAGAAGTGTTAACTAGTGTATGAGGATCAAATACGATCCTCTCTGACTGGTCCAAATCACCGATTATCCCAGTCTTCAAGAAAGGCGAGAAGTCCTCTTGTGATAACCACAGAGGAACATAGTGTCTAAGATTCTAGGTCCCATAATTCTTCGATGCCTGAGTGGAGCTCGGGAACAGCAAGCCTGAGAAAACCAGACAGGTAGGCTTTAGACCCGGCCGCGGATGTATTGACCAAATATTCACACTGGGCTAGGCACGCTTACCGACATTAGCCGTATTTCTCGACTTGAAGGCGGCGGCATTCCACTCTGTTGATCGAGAAGTCTTATAGCAATGTCTCTCACTGAAAGGCGCGCCGAGCAATTTACATCACCTTATTGAAGTATGTCTACTCGAACACTTGTAGACGTGTTAGAGCCTATGGTGAGATGTCCGGGAAGCTGTGCTCATCGAGTGGTGTCCGTCAAGGGTGCCCACTCTCCATTCTTATTCAATTTTATCCTAGATATTCTTATGGAGGTCTCCCTCTCGTCATCTGACTACACAGAGGTTGACCTAATCGCAGGAGAATTTTCGTTAGATGTAGAATATGCAGATGACATAGTGCTGTTAGGTGAAGACACTGATAAGATGCAGAATCTTCTGAACACTTTGATTGTCAATTTGAGAATGTTTGGGATGTGGTTCTCACCACCAAACTGGAAATGTTTGCTCCAGGATTGGTTTTCAACGGTCCCACAGCTAACAATGGAGAGTGTAGTGGTTGAGTGTGTCGACCACTTCACTTACCTGGGAAGTAGGGTCAGCCCTGGTGGCTCGGTGGCTGATGAAATCTCTGCACGGATACAAAATGCTGGACTGGCTTTCGCCACCTTACACCACCTATGGCGCTGCCGTGATATCCGATTGTCTATTAGGGTCGTGTATACTGCACAGCAGTCCAATCTGTTCTGCTGTATAGCTGTGAAACATGGTCACCGAAGGTGGAAGACATGAGAAGGCTTCAGGTGTTTGACCAATGTTGCCTTCGTAATATAGGTCGTATCCCGTGGTGTCACCACATGAGTGAGTAATGCAGAAGTCAGGTGTGGAGTTTTAGGGAGAAGAGGTAAGTCAGTTGACGAGGTTGTGAACGTTCATCGACTGAGATGGTTGAGACATGTGTTACGTATGCCTAGTCGCCGTCTGCTTCGTCATACAATGTTGGCCAAAGTAGGTCCTGGCTGGGAAAAGGCCAGATGCGGACAGACTGAAACATGACATCAGTGTATGAAGTCCTTGACTGTTGGTTTGAGCGATGCAGGAAGATGCAGACTGGGTGGTTGGGAGGTCCCCGGGACAAGAGGGACCAGTGGTTGGAGACTCTAGGTGATATGGCTGAGAACCGATGTCAGTGGCGCAGATGTGTACACACATTATCCTCATCTTAACATTATGCCGAATCTCACCATTTTCTCATTCTTCCTTTCTCTCTTCTCGTAGTTTACATTTCTTTAGACTGAATTTTCTTATCTTCATCTTGCACCATCCCACTGCCTTTTTTTACTTGATGTACTGATATGAGGTGTGGCAACTCGGACCGTTAGGCGGTAATGCCTGGTCCTATGTTGATATTGATGATGATGAGCGATGATTGTGACAAACTTGGGGATAGCTTGAGAACAAGAACACGCAGCGACATTTGAAATGCTTAGCCTTATTAATAACTCGATGACCAAACTCCCAGTGTGGCAGGTAACCACTAGGTAAAAATCCCCATTCTCCCTGAGTAGCAGTTAGCTTTCAAATATATTTCCGTTGATGTTGAGCGACACTAGTTTGGCGAAGAACACTAACCCCCTCCCTGAACGAATACCAATTAAACTGAAAATAATTCACCGTTTCTACTGGTCTATGTATAGTCTTCTTACAAGAGGAACAATTGGATAGCAGTTTAACAAAATGGACTGTTGACAAATGTAGAAGAAAACTTTCAAAGGTGTTGGAAATTGCGTTTTTTTATATTCACCGCAACGATCCAGTACTATTTACCATATAACCATTTAAAGTTGATAAAATCGGGCAATTACCTTGTTGCGAAACATAATTTGTCAAGAACGTAATCTGATAAGTAATAATGTGATATTCATTGATATTTCTGACTTTCCGTTGCCTTTACTGTTGACAGATGAGCTCCTATGTGGATGCCTCGATATTGCCCAGATATTCACTACTTTTCAGTCGCCTATTTGGTGACCAGCAGGGGAATCCAGGGTTCATGTTCCTTCCTATTTGAGACCCGCTGGCTGGATGTATCTGCATCCCAATGACACCCATTGCACACGAGATGGCTCTCGTGCCCCATTTGACTGGTGGATAAAACTGGGGCATTTGAAGCGATGGGTACTAGGCTCGGGTCTCAGTGGAAACAAGATCACTCACGGAGGTACGGGTACATCCGGCTGACGAGTCCCAAGTGGAACGAAACATGCATCCAAGAAACCACTGCTAGCCATCAAGCAGACTACATAATAATGTACTAGATCAGGAAAACTAACTAACAGAATTATACTCCATCATAGTTCTACAAACGACCACCAAGAAGCAATACGACGTGCCATTTAACAGGAAAAGTGACGCTTCTAAATCCTGCTTAAATGATCAGTTGATGACTATTTTTTTTTTCACAAGTAGTATATTTTCAAGAAACTGTCTTCATACAAGGCTGTTAATTAAATTTATAAAATTATTAAATGTCAAATGAATTGCATTATGTAGATAGCATGCTGATGAAAAATGTAGTGTGAATTGAATCCATTAACATACACACTATTTACAGATTGACATAAAAATAATAAACACAACTCAGTGATCACTGGTACTAAGCAGTGAACTGTGACTGTTGAGAGACGGTTGTCATACTAACCAGCTGCCTAAACTTCAGCAGGTAGTTTTTCCATTGGCATTCCAACAGTTGAAAAATCAAGTACTCAGCTCGATTCATTGCAATTACACCAGTGATAAACGCTATGTTATGCTAATATGAGTTAATTATCAGTCCTCTCAAAGCAAGCTCTAACAAAAAGTTGAGGTATCTACAAACGAGAAATCTAGGTCAACATCGTCCTGCATTATACAGGTGATCATGACTTTGACGGTAATAAAAAGGAATTGGAAATGCGTGAGACGTATAAAAAAAACTGTTAGAAACGATAGTCATACTAGTTTATGACAAATAAAGAGTAAACGATACGATACGGTATGTGCATAATAAATTGCATAATAAGTATCTTGTCACTCCTCAAGAGCAGGAAGCCAGAAGGATGTTTGATGTGATCCTGTAGCAAGCATCGCAAACCTGGGATTAAATGCAAGACTGTGAATAGCTGCATTCGGTGACTGAGTAGAAGCTTCATAACCCGGTAGGCTTGCCACACGCACTCCAGTTTCTACAGACCAAATGTGTACAATCCCATCTGGTGAACCAATCAGAACAAATTGACTGTCTGGAGTAAATGTTGCATGTAACGTTTGTCTTTCAGCATTTGATATAACCTATTAAATGTATATCTTGTAAGTTGCATGAAATATAATTCAAAAAATGAAACTAACTTAAAGAGTTAGGAATCACATAAAGCTATAGTTTTAGTATGCATGTAGACCTACTTATTTTTCTTTATCAACCCTATGCTATGCTACGATTTACATCACTGATGAAATAACATTCAGAAATTTGATTAGAAAATAGTGTTTGATTTTTAGCTTTTTTTAAGTGATCATTAATTCTTATTTCGCTTTTAACTGATAAGAAACACACTACTCGTAAACCATACAGGGATAACTTTTGCAAGTCTTTTAAGAAAAGTGAAGTAAAATTTTATAATTACGTCCAAATGGTTCCTCTACAGAAATTGAACGATTAATACCCCTTTATTTTACGTCTAGTTTGAACCAAAATAAACAAATTCAGTTACAACACTTTTATACTAACTTCTCAATTGTTGATAATGTATTGTCACGGACTCCCGTTTTGAAAACCTGATCACTTGAAATCCTTAGAACGTTCTAATCACTGGTTTACGAAGATAACTATCAACCAATGGGTCACGGGTTCCAACCCCCTCCACCTACCGCAGTTTTCAGCAGCCAGGTAGTATCAATAACCCTCACAAAACAGGTGTGGCTCATAGCCTACTGCATGGATGTGCACAAGGTGGTTGAGTATGCCAATCAAAATGACCGAATTTCAACTTTACGCCTCATGTGAATGGAATGATTAAATCCACCCTAACTATTAACTGCATAATGAACGTTGTTCGCAGGAAAAAAGACTATTGACTTATAAGCAAACAAGATAACATTTCATCTTACCGTTAATGTATGTAAATGAGTTCCCTTAAATGCATCGACTAATCGGACGTGGGTACCGTTGGTTGTTATGAGAAGAGCTTTCCCATCAGAAGAAAACTGTAAGCCTGTCCAAATGCATCCACTTGTTTCAAAGCCTAGCTTAAATGTAGCAAAAGGTCCTTTATCAAATGATCTTAAATCATATAATTTCACTGATTCGGAGTTGATTCCCGCTGCGAATATCAATCCTTCTGGATCGAAAGCAGCTGTCGGTCGACCAGAAACATGCATTACACCCTTTAAAAATCCATTACAAAATTAAAACATCTATTAGAATGGATTCAAGGAATTTCATTAAGAACCATAGATAAAAAAAATGAAATTTGCAGTACCTGGGGATGCTTGTATACAAGGTTTTGTGTTGATGTATACATTTGTGGATCCCTAGTGGGGTCGTCGATACACACTACTGAAAAGTCCGATACTAGGACGAAGTAGCTGTCTACTGCCAGCAGATTTTTAATGAGTCTCCAACTGATATCAGTTCGTGATGAATCCGACCTTGAGATGAATATGAACAAATGAATACAGGGGGGTTCAACCGATTATTCAGCTGCGAACCAGTACGATTAGTTTTCGGATAATGTTCTGTCTTTACTAGTCTTAAAAGGCATTCTCTCAAAGGGATAGTGCGAAAGTACCGTAGGTTAGATTTGCATGTATACTTCAGGAAAAACATTTATTTTTCTAGGTGGACGACAAATGCACCGTCTTAGCACTAGATAGCGTTTGACTTTCATTTTATATATTCAAAGATACAACTGAAGAAGTGGTATAACACAAAAACGTAAATAGTTCGCGCGCATTGAAGAACTTCTTTGCTAAGATAGATTCCATCAGTCCCGCCAATAAGGCAGGGAAGATAGATTCCCCATATTCTATTGCATTCTAATCACCTGCGTAAAAGCTAACGATCAGTCAGGCAGTCAACACAAACATAGGAACTGACATTACGGCATAACGGTACTGCTGCCGCACCTCGCGTCAGTGCACCAAAATGGAAAATCGATAAATACAGAGGGAAGAAACCAAAATTAGTAGAAAACAGTAAGAATACAGGAAAAGGAGGCAAAATAATAACGAAGTGTGACACAGCGATTACGAAAAAGGAAATGTGTGGATACATCTCTACTATCATAGTTAATCTGAACCATCACTTAGTCTTGAGCCATTGGTACGCGGTTAGAACGCAGACCCTAACTCGGAAATCAATATTTTCTTATACAGCTCTAACCAGCAGTCCAAGAATGTATGGACTAGTGTTACTTCTTAGTCTAGTTGCCCAAAACTTTTCTCAAATTTGAACCTACTTCGGTCAACATTACCCATCAAGACAGACGTGATAAATCCCAACCACCTGAATCTATGAAGAATCACAATCTCATCAGCTGGTTTCTTCTTTAATAACCTGGTGGTTTCATGACACATCAGAAACACTACGAAACAACCGGTAGTTGAACTCTTGAAGCCATATCATTCCTTCTACCTTTAATGGACATGTTTCATATAGTAAAACAAAGTGGAATGCAGTAGAGTACAATCGACTCTTAGTAGGCAACTGAATATTACAGCCACGTCATAAATTATGTAGGCTGAAAAAAGCCAATCGGGTTTTTTGCACCCATGTCACGATTTCGACAGTCATTGACACATTAGGGCTGATATGATTCCTGCCGAACTTAAATACTTCTAGTGCTAAGCCCACCTGATCCTGCTGTTCTGCCTCGTTACTCAGTCTTATCAAGTTCGGTAAGAGTTAGGACATCCATCTATGTTTCATCCAAAATTTGACTGGACAGCTAGCAACTGAAGACTGGTTGGAAACCATATCTACTGTTCCTAGAAGAGTCAGAGAGAAAGTAGAAACTGATACAAAGGTGATTCGTTTTACGTTACTACACCTCACAGCGGCACGCAAAGAAAAGGTGGATAGAAATCATGATATCAAGTTCTGTATTAGGAGAAAGAATATAACTATGAACGTTAAGAAAATGTCCAACACTTTGAATATGACAGTGTATACATCTGCGTCAATGTGAATGATTGTCAACTGTATCACTAGACTTTCCAACCACTGATTCCTACTGTTTCCAAGACCACAGCCAGGCAAACTACATCAGCTAACACAAGCTGTGGCTAATTGGTTTAGGGAGATGACTTTCAACCAACGAGTCGAGGGTTTGAATGCCGTTCCACTTAACGAGGTTTTGAGCAGCCAGGTAGTATTATTAGCACTTATAAAATAGGTGTGACTCAAGTGCCTACCGCACGAATGTGCTTAAGGTTGTTGAATGCATTTAAATTTAGGTTTTTGATTTGACCCAACATGACTCAAACTAACAGCCAAGGACTTTAAGGACTGATGCTACATTCTGATTTGGCGGTGCTGTACCTCATTCCAACCCAATCCTACTTCATATAACATCGCACATTCAGGTTGACGATGGCTCGGCATGCGCAGCATATGCTCAAACAGTCCCAGTTGGTGAAGGTTTACAATATAACCGAATAAACTGCCTTCTTTGCTTACACCCTACGCCTAACCCCATGATTGCTAAAGCGGTGATGCCAAAGTACGCAGGTAGAGCTACGAAGACAACTGTGATCAGAAAGTTGTATTCTCTTTCCCGACCAATACCCAATGCCTTGACATGGTTATGATAATTGAATATCACACAAATACAACCAGCTACGCTCCCTAGAACTCTAGTTCCTTGCGTTTCTACAACACTGGGAAGATCTGTTAATGTTAAGACAAAAAGTAGTCTCTACGGATGAACAGCAGCGCCATGTTCATATCCCTTCCGTAACAGTAGGGGGGGGAAGGTTGACCCTTACACTAGTACACTCACTTCTGCCCCATGGCCAACGATATGGGTTCATGGTCGGATTCACAAAAAACAAAAGAAAACAAAAGACTCCTAAGAAGGTTACGTAATAGTCGTCTATGTGCCATTCGACTGAACGGTGCAGTGAGGACTAAGAAGAGCAGTGAAACTCTTCATTGTCTTTGTATTCTCTGCCTATCCATCCATTCACGGCAGCTCGAATGAAGTGAAGAATGAGATTCACCGAAACCTATCTGATCTCCTATTTAAAGCCAAACTTTGAGAAGTGGTCATTGTAGCAAGTGATTTCAATGTAAAAATGAGTAGGCTAAATCTAGCAGAAACGCACCTCATTGGCATCACCAGAATCTTAGCTGAACGAGCAGATAACGGTCATCGCCTGCCACAAATGTGCTCAGACAACCGTCTTTTTCTGGTCACTAAGAACTTCAAAAATAGAAATATGTCGTCTGATGTGGGGTCCATCGACCTTAACGGTGGAAAGATGGAATACGTTGCTACCAGTTATCGTAGGTTATGTTCAGTAGGAGATTGCTGATCCTTCTAAAGTATGCTTAAAAAGCGATCACATGCTGAGCTGTGTTTAAATGGAAAACTACAACAGTAAGACCACTGAGGGTAGTGCTTGATGACGAGAATACTAAGGCTGCTTCCAGTAAGAAACGGGATATACAGTCACTGAAATTTACAAAATCAACGTAGAACCTTGTACACAGGTGCGTCGGCCCAGCTTGTCACACTTCACAGTAGTAGTAAGCAAAGACCAGGTGGATAAAAAAAATTGATATCAAAGTAGGTAAAATTGTATGCGCAAGCGATGCTACGAAGACATCTGTATTCAAAACCCTGTAATCGCTTCATGTCTTCTACTTTTAAAGCCCATGTCTCCCAACCGAACAACAGGGCAGAATGGGTTGCAGCTCAGTATACTCAAATGTAGGTTAACAACTGTCTTTACCGGTGTTTCTGAAGCAGGTTTAATATCACACTACGACAGGTTTCCTCAGGATGAGCATTGGCGTTACGTCTACACAAATGCTTAGTTAACTCCTCTCTAAGTGCGTACTTACAGTCATCTACCAATCGAATACAGATGGGCCTCACCGCCTCTTGTTTCCTGCGACCAGTAACGTGCAGACATACACGAGATGTACAAGAGCGTGATCGGTGTCAAAACTGGTATTCCAGAAAGAGTGGCAATCCACCATCAATCTTCTCCAACGATGGCTAACTTATAGCAATATGATATATTTGCGTCCATCGTTGGTTTGCCTTTCGTCGACAACAAGTGAGAGAATTTAGCCCCTTATGCTTAAAGTAAGCGCTCGTCATAAACAAGTGGTTGTGTTTGCAAAATCTCAACAGATGATCAGCGTTGTCGGTTCGTTGGCACGGGATTCTGTAAATACCTCCCAGATGTCTCTCCATTTGTCTCAGCTCAGCTTCCCTACTTGACCGTTTAAGTCACCTGTAGTTACGACTACATTCGAAGGTTTTACTGTCTATAACAAAGTTAACAACTTGCAGAATTAATCCTTCGCATCATCCGAACTGCAGTCAGTGGGTGCTTGGGCTGAGATCACGAGTTGGCATCTGTTAGTCTCACTATCCTTTCTATTTCTTACAGACCCATCAGCCGATCAGCATATAAACGACTGTTGAATGGTATCCAACCTAGAAGTTCACTTCCTGCCCTACTGCTCAACGCTATGTCTATACCAGTGAGTCCACGAGAGCCAGCTATTACGTTGCCGGATACTTTTAAGGAGAACTTCTAAGATTAGCCGCACTGGTCAGGTGAGGCCAATTTAATAACCAAACTCGAGACTTGTCTGTATACACATCTCAGAGTGGAGCTGTAGCTCAGTGGTTTAGGGACGTGACTATCAACCACTGAGTCACAGGTCACAGCCCCACTCCACCCACCGAGGTTCTAATAGCCATGTAGTATCTCTAGCCGTCACACAATAGGTGTGACTCATTGGCTAGCGCACGGATGTGCACAAAGTAGCTGAGTTCGTCAGTTGCTGCTGCTGCTTCTACGTGTCTTGGAGACAGCGCACATCTATGGCTGGAGATTTCAGGGTTCCGGCTAGCGATACTTGCTATCCGATATGGCATACAGTTCGGATATTGAAAGCTCCTACATTAAATCGATAGAAGAGTCTTAAGAGACTAGGAATGAGGTTTCGATAGTTTTGGTCGTTTGCAATGGTTGCAGAGTGAGAGGTTGGGTAAGGCGTCAGAGGCTTTATATTCGCATCAGGAGGTGAAGGCAGAGGAAGAGTTGAGGAGGATAGGTTATATTTCATTGGGTCTTGTGTACTACTGGAAGCATGCGGGTGGTTGACACTTCCCGGTTGCCCACATCGTGAAAGGCTATTTCTC